ATCTTGAATCTATTCAAAAAAACCAAAAAAAAATATTTAAAAATCATTTATAAAAAAAAAAATAGCTACTAATCGTTCATTGACAGGATCTAATGCTGATGTTGCTTCATCTAAAAGAAGTATAGTTGGTTTTCGAATAATAGCTCGAGCAATTGATACACGTTGTTTTTGACCACCTATGATCAATAGACAAACAAAAAAAGTTGAAAATAGAAAAAAAAACCAACTAATTTAAAATAATTCAAACCTGATAAATGACCACCACGTTGTCCACATTTAGTATTATAACCATTAATAAGTTCCTTAATAAATCCATGTGCATTAACTTGTTGTGCTGCTTGAATTATTGTTGTTTCATCATAATTATCTTTAGCATAAGTAATATTTTCTTGAATAGATCTATTAAATAAAATTGGTTCTTGTCCAACCATAGCTATTTTTTTATGAAGATATTTATGATCATATTCATGAATTTCTCGACCATCAATTAAAATTTTTCCATGAGTAGGATCATAAAAACGTTCAAGTAAATTAATACATGTTGATTTTCCTAATAATAATAAAAGAATGAAATATATATCATTCAAAAATGAAAAAATTTTGATTACCAGAACCAGATGGTCCAACAAAAGCACATGTTTGACCTGATTTTATTTTAAATGACATATTCTTATAAAACAAAAAGAAAAAGGATGTGTTTTTATTTTTTTTAAATAAAAATTAATCAATAATACTTGAATAGCAATTTCATCCGGTCTTGCTGGATAAACAAGTGAAACATTATCAAATTCAATATCACCTTGTAATTCATGTGGTTGTATAATACCACTTGGTTTTTGCATTGGTTTACGATCTAGATAATCAAAAACTGAATGACTTGCGCCAGCTGCTGTCATAAGTGATGTATAAATCTGCGAAATATCCTAAAAACAAATATTTCATAATAATAATAATCTTTCTTTTATTTTTATTTTCAAATTATATATATTTACACTTAATATTCCTCCAAGTGTTAATTCATAAATAATAAATGCTAATAAATCAGGTCCCGTTATATAATTATCACGTACAAGTTTTGCACCATAAGCAAGCATAACAATACTCATACAAAGTTGTGCTAACTAATGAAAATGAAAATAAAAATAATAATTTATCATAAAAATTATATTTATAATAATTTCACAATATCATTCGACTGATGAGGGAAGTCTTCCAACTGATTAATTGTTTTTGGATCGGAACTATGTGCATCATGTAGATCCTAATGAGCAATGAAATGAATATCCTGAAAAGAGTTCGGACCCTTAGATCATTGTATTTTTGTAGCATTTTTTCAATCAATGGCGTAGCCCATCTCAGGAAAACTGATTTCCGAATTTCGATTTGAACACTTTGTATAGAGATAGACGTAAACGAGAAATAAGTCAAAACTCTAAAATCAGTTTTCCTAGTGTTCCTAAAATGGACTACGGCATTCATTTAAAAACTACCATAAATTTGAAGTATCTACACAATAATAAGCTAAGAGTTCGAAGCCTTTTTTTTCAGAGTATTCAAGACTCATTTGGGTCTACACAATGTGCATATTCCCAACTCAAAAGCAACTAATCAATTGAGGGACACCCCTCGTGAGTATTTTGTGGATTTATCCTGGCTATTCTACATCTTGAAGTCAGAAGTTAAATTTTTGTTGAAACTATTCTATAGAATAAAGTGTTCGTAATCTAACTACGATGTTTCGTTGTCAGGTATTATAGAATTAAAAATCAAATTCGAACAAATGACTTTTACGTTTTTAAAAAGATTTCTCGTTTTTTCTAAAGAAAAGCATATTTTTCAAAGGTGAAGATAACAGAAATTTTCGGAAAAAAAATCGAGGTACCAAATAAAAAGTTCTATCGTATTTTTCGATCTAAAATATATTCGATTAGATAAGTTTGTAAATCATAGAATGATGACTTACTTCAACAAACCATTTTTGTGCTGAAGTTAAAATAGCTTGTATCCATGAAACTTGATATGATTGTTGAAGAGTATTTTCAAATCTTTTTAATTCTTCATTTTCATTTCCAAAACTTCGAACTGTTCGTATTGTTTGAATTGTTTCTTCAGCTATTTCAAATGCTTCAGCTGATAAATCTTGAACTTTTTCTGATATACGTCTATGTGCATTACCACTTATTTTAGCAACAATTAATATAAGAGGAGCACCAATAAGACAAGCTATTGTTAAATGAAGACTTAATTTAATCATCATGATTAATGTACCAACTAGAGAAAGAAAAAAAAAAGAAAAAATAAATAATTTCATTTAATTTTTTCTATTTTAAACTTACTAAATCTAACAAATGCACCAATACATTGTGCTATATTATTAGCAACTGTTGAACTCATTACTTGTGTATCATGATTAAGACGTGAAAGTAATTTTCCACTTTCATGTGTATCAAAAAAACCAATTTCTTGTTGTAAATATGATTGAAATAATTTTGTTCGTAAACGTATACTAAGACGTGAAATACATAGAGAAAAAATTCCCATACGAAATCCACCAAGAAAACCACTGAAATATAAAACAAAAACAAAAAAAGAATTCTTCATTTTTTTTTAATCTATTTATTAAATTTTTATTTATACCCAGCAAAATTTACTACAATAAACATAATTAAATTATATCGAAATTGTGACCATGCTTCTTTAAATGCAACACTTGATAAAAGTCTTCCGGTATACAATGGTACGAAAACTTCAGCTAAAAAAAATAAGAACATCTGTTGGTTTTTTTTTATCAAATAAATAAATATTGAATAGTATACGTGCATAAAGCTGCGCCTAATAAAAATATTGTTCCAAATGTAATTATTTTCCAATCAGATAGACTATATCGAAAAAGACGTTTAAGTACAAGAAGTTCATCTTTACGTTTTGATTGAAGATCTATACAAAAACAACATACAATAGTTAATTAAATTTTTGAGTTTATCATCTTGAAAAGAATATTGAACTTCATATATATATATATACATATTGTTTAAAGCATGCAATCTTTTATTTCAATAAAAATGTAAACAAAAAATAAAATTCTTTCTTTAAAGAAAGCAATTGATCAATACTTCGATTGAGTAGTTATAAATTATACATTGTAGCAGCCTCAAATTGAATCTAATCAGATATTAAAATAGAAGGATTTTTATTTTTAGCATAAGATAAAACATATATTCTCAATTGAAAGGATAGTATCTTCAAGATCTTTTCGCCAACAAATGAAAATTAATTTCTTGTCTCTCTTTCTCATATCTTACATTCACATTTTCATAATGTCTATACAACTATGTTATTCGATTTCGATAATTTTATTTTCCATCAAGTTCGAAAAAATTTATTTTACAATATGTCGAAACGAAATCTAGTAAATATTTAAACTCTTTTTTTATTTTATTTGAATTAGTACAGAGTTCGTGACAAATGTCAAATTGTTATTAAATCTCTGATTAAAAGACTGAGAAATGTTATTTCACTGATAATAGTATTTTCTCGATTACGGTGTGCAGCGACTATTCGTTCCATCTCCATAAAATACTCTTACGACCATCCTGACTCCTTGAACAATCTTAGAAGAATTCGAACTCTTAGTTAACTGCTGTGGACATACGATTTTTTAAAAAATGAATGGCGTGGTTCCCCTCAGGAACACTAAAACAAACTGGTTTTAGAATTTCAGCTTCAAACTTTGCACAGAAGTAGGTCTTAATGAAAATAATTTATTATGAAACTTTCAGATATTGTGATTTGCTCATATCATGAAATCAAATTTCACTGTGTTCATGGACGATATGAAAGGAGTGCTTTTACTATCGTCGTATCTTAGGATAGGCGCAATGAAAAGATCTGAAACTTTCACAATAAACTATCTTCATTAAGGTCTGTCTCTGTGTAAAGTTTCAATTCGGAATTTCAAAAATCAATTTTTCTGGTGTCCCTGAGGGGAACCGCGATATTTATCTTAAAAAAGTACTTTATATCCGCAGCAATTAACTAAGTATTCGAATTTTTCTCATATTATTCATAGCTCAATAAAATCTATATGATGCACATAGTCTCAGTTCAAAAGTGATTTTATCAACTAAAAAACTTCGTTCAAAAATAATATCCTTTCTTCCTTATTCTAGCTTCTGTATTTGTAAAACTTTATTTCTATTTCTTAAAACATAAGGATAATTTTCTTTACGTTTTTTTTTGTCGTACTCTTTCTAACTTTATAAATTCCTTTGATTTTCATTTCTCTTTTAAAACATATGAAAATAATTCATATCATTATCACAATTTAAAATAAAAATAAAAAATTTTATTCATGCATATGCACATTCATCTAATAACACTTACATTTAAATGATCGATGTTAGTTTTATTTTAGATTAAGCTGTAAAACAAAAAAGGTACATTAGGTATTTAACATTTTCCCTTGATAAAAACTTATACAAAGAATTTTCAAAAAAATACAATACTAACCACGATCATTTGTCGAATCAAATACCTCAAACCAAATATATTGTAAAACACTAAAATCTTCTTTTTCTATACGTCGAATCCATAGATAAACAAAAAGTGGCATTGATACTTGTTCAATTATATATAATATTGATTGAAGATCATATGAAAATTTTATATAATACATAATAAATGCTTGTTCTATAGCTGCAATAATGACAAATATATTTTTAAATGGACTCCAAAATGTTTTTGTTGTATTATAATCAATATTTTTATCATAGTTATCATAAATAATTCGATAAAAAAATGCAATAAATATTCCTAGTATGCGAATAAATGCTAAGAAAATAAGTACATTTTTTGATGAACTTAAATATAAATCAATTAACATTGTTAATATAAGTCCCAAGACAATAAAATATATTCTACGAGTTATTTCCATCTAAAAAAACAACGCTCTATTATTATTATTATTATTTTAAGAAATTAAATAGAAAAAAAAAAGATTATTAATGAAAAAATTGCGATACACGTAAACGTAGATGCATGGCATTTAGTATCGAACTTAACCCATTACGTTCAACAGGTTTACCTAAACCTATAAACCAAATAGAAATTGATATACCAATAAGACAAAAAAGATTTTTTAAAATAATAAATATTGTTAATAAATAACCATTTAATAATGAATTATTATTAAATGAAAATAATATAAAAATAAGTATAAATACTCCAAGAGCAAAAAATATTCGATCACGTTGTATACGTTGAATTGATTCTTCAACAATAATACAAGCTGAACGAAGATTATTTCGTGTTTCATCATCCATTATATCAATATCATCAAGTGGTATTGGCTTTTTTTCTGGAATGTTTTCATCTATTTCAAATAAAGCATAAACAGCTAAATGATCCGAATAATAAAGTCCATTAGGATTATTTGGAACTTTATGTAATGTTGGATAAGCTTCAATACATTTAACATTATCTAGAATTTCAAAAAATAAAATAGAATTAGATAACATTCGAGTTTTTTCTCAACCGAGAAATGCAATGCGAAACTATGAATCTCGATTGTGGAAAAAATCGATATCTCATAAATTACTCTGATTCATTATTTATTATCAGTTGTATTCATAGTTGTCTTAGATATGAGTAAAAACAAGTATGAACCAAGATTTGTTGTTGTTACCATTTTCATACAGTCGAAACTTGAAAAACAATAAAGTAGACAAAAATTTGTTTTTTTCTCGGGTAACTTTACCTAAGAAAATGTAACGTTATGTTAAAGATTGGAAAACAACATATATGCTAAACTTGAAACTTGAATTCAATTGAAGTTTCAAGTTTCAACGTTTAGCATACATATTAAACCTGAAAGTTAAATTCAACTATTCAATAATTCTATAAAGGTGAAGTGGCCTTCAAAGAGCCACGACCCATACGCATCTCCGTGTACATAGCAATCGAAGTGTGTCGTGTTTGGGCCATGTTAGCTATATCTTTTCCGAAGTTATTTAACCATGCAACCCGTTCGCTTACACATGTTACCTTGCCGTTATCACTCAAACATCTCAGGTGCTTCCTGTATCGTTCCAGATAATACCTGTATGATTCCAGGTAGTACCTGTAGCACTCCAGATAACATCTGTAGCATTCCAGATAATACCTGTAGCATTTCGGAATATTTGTAGCGTTATAGGACCTCAATTGAATTCAAGTTTCAAGTTTTATGCTACTGGAAAACGAATGGTATAGATTCGGTCTTTGCATTTTCAAGATCATCGCGACCGAAAACAATAACTTTAGAAGCGCACGTCTATGAAGTAAAAACGAAAACTCGCCAAGCACTGTATAAATTTGGTGCGAAATGATCTCAAATTTCGGCCATAGAGTTTGAATGAACATGAGAATGGTAAACAGTTTCACATAGAGTCGATCGTGTCCTGTCGAAGGTTTTCACTATAGCTCCTGCTTACAACAGTTGGCTAGAGATTAGCTCACCACTTTTGATTATCTCAAGTAAAAGATGAAGGCCAAATCGCCGTTTTGTGAAACTTACTGAAGATTGAAGAATGTTTGTATTATCTCTAGACTTCGATCTGTCTATAATAAAGTTCGAACAATTTTCTAGCAACTCAACCGTCGTGACACGAAGTACAGATTTTGTTACAGCAGAAAAGCACGCAAAGTATGAAGACCGAACGCGTACGCGACTGATTACATAATTGATGTATTTCGCACTGCATTTAGAATTGAAAAATCATAACTAACCATTTCGTGCTCGATAAAGAATATAATCAATACGTTCACCTTGACCTTGATATGGATGTGGATGAATATATGGATTATCAAGTAAATCACATGTTTGACCATCGTTACCAACAGTTGGATCAAAAATATCCTAGAAAATAAATATTTATATTTATATAAAATTTTTTTTTTCTTTATTTACTTTATTAATACGTTGAAGAAATGAATCATTTAATTGAAGAATACCGTTAATAAGTTTAAAACCTAAATCATCATTTGTTAAATTAAGATCACCTAAAAGTATTGTTAAATGAGTTGTATCAGCGGATGATGTACTTTCAATAAATTGTATTAATTCATATGCTTGACATATTCGATGTCCTAAATAAATATCTTTTGGTATAACATGATGATAATTAGCATGTAAATGTGTATTGTATACATTAATAACATATCCATTAACAAGAATTTTACATAGACCAATTAATTTACCACAAAACCAATCACCATGTTGAATTTTATGTGGAAAACCTAAAATAAATTTTGAAATATAAAAAAAACCAAATTCATCGAGATTGTATATTATTTTAAAGCTATAATTTAAATTATCAGTACTTGAATTATCAGCATTTAATTACAAAGTGATCAGTTTATTATATATAATCAGCAGTAAATTATTCAAATTTGTCTAATTACAAATATAGATTTTAAAAGCAGAATTTTTTTATTGGTATAAAACAGGATATAGATATGGGTTTGAATAAGTTTTCATTTTATTCACACCCACACTCTCAAATACTTGCTCTATATTAAGGTCCACAATGCTTGGCTTTATCGCACCTAGTGTGCTGCATCATGATTAACTATTTTCGAATTCTAAGTTCTCAGTTTTCTTTGTTGTACATGCTTAGAATTCAAAAACAGTCAACCACGATGCAATACAATAGTTGCATCTGTAAGAAACTGTTCTTCAATTTTCTGTATAATTCGTAGAATATCTTGACCATTTATTTCCAATTGATGCTTCTATTTCATCTGCCCAGCGTTTGGATTTCTTTTTTTGGCGAAGCCTTGCATTTTCATTGATTTCGTCATTTCCTTCCATCATCTCTTCATATGATGCATCACTTTCATATCGAGCAACTTGTATCACGTCCATCTTTCTTACTCGTGGGCTCTAAGTTGAAGTCGGAGGAAAGAGTAGAAACAAAATAATATCTATATCTATGTCGTACATAACATCTGCACTGTATGATACAAGAAAAGAAGAAAAAGAAAGTGAATCACACAATTTAATCCTTTGATTTAATTTACTGACCAAATATTTTGTTCTCTTATTTTAATAAAGTGATCGTCTAGGAGATGAGATTTGTTTTTCTCGTTGGTCATTAAAAGCTATTTGAATTTTCGATTAATAATGGATTGACTAGAAAATTTATTAAGCATAATTGCAATACACTCTTGACATATATATATATATACATATAGGAAACGAAATTTAATCAATAATAGATAATTCAATATAAACGATGTCACTTTTTCGAAATAATTCAAAAGATAATTGCAGTATAGATTATTTCCTGTGATCTTTCTTTCTTTTTTTAGAAAAAGGAAATCGTGAGATGATCATCTTTCACGATCTAAAATTAAACAAAAAAATGAATAAAGCTATAAGATATCAAAATACACTTAAATTTTAATTAATAGCTTCGAATGAAAAAAAGAACAAGAAAATAGCATACTCAATATGTCTTTATATATTTTATGATATTCCAAAGAGGGAATAGGTGTACTGATATTTTGAGTGCATGCAACAATAAACACTCTTCGCAAAGGACTAACCTGCCCTCCATCGATTCATAGGTATTGAAGTTATGATTCACACTTTGTTTTTCCTTGTGAAAAAGCATATTCACCGGAAATATGCACTCAAAAGGTTTCCATTTGTTATTTCACAAACTGTTACTGTTTGTTTTTTTAGTGGTAAAGGCAATCTCATATATTATCAAAGCTTATGGCGCATAGTCAACAGCTTGGTAATTAACATGCCTTGAAATAGTAATGCCATGTCATAGCGCTAAAGAAGACAATATTTCAGTTATTTTAAAATGATTTCTAACGAAATTCAGACGAGACATAGTTCCGATAGTGATCTTTCGAATGAAAAATTTTGACGAAAATATTTGTGCTAACATGACTAAGATCTGATGATCACAAGAGGATGATTGATATCTGAGCCATAACTTCAGTACATGTGAATCAATGAAGAACAAGTTAATCCTTGCGATCAGAATTTATTACCGCACGCATATTCTCAAAATATTAGTTCAATATTATAAACAACAGTAGTACTTTTTGGCAAGAGGGAGATACTTTTATCTAGAACTGTACATACCATTTAATGTATAACGATGTTCATAAGCACCAATAATTGGATATTTTGAAAAAAGACAACATCCTGAACCAACAAGACCACTTAAAAAATAATAACTATATGGATATATAGATTTTAATTGATCACGTAAATAAATATAATCTACTTTACTCCAAACCTATATATAATAAGAAAAATAAATTCAATTTCTTAATTTCAGATTCTTTTTTTACTTCTTGTAATCCAACAATATCATAATTCGTATCAGGATTTATTAAATGTTCAATTAATGCTTGAATACGTTGATGAATCAATTTCGAAACATAATGAACACCCCAAATATTAAGTGTAAGAATACGTAGTTGCATATTTAGTATTCTTTCTTGTTGGCTTCTTTTTTTTTTCTAAAATATGAAAAACGAAACAAACAGATTTTTTTTATGGTTGACTGATTTTTCTTATTATGCTCGTAAATTACATAACCTTCAAATATGTACTTTATGACTCTTTTGAGCTCGATTTATTGAAATCAAAAAAAAAAAAAATGGACAAACATAAAAGAACAACAAGAAAAAAAATAATAATAATAAATGTTGTTGTTTTTTTTTTAACTAGAATTGTTACCAGTTGTTGATTTATCACCACTTCCTTTTTCTGTTTTTTTATCAACATTTGGTGTTGTTGTTGTTGTTGTTGAATTTATATTTGTTGTTGTATTATCAGCTTTTTCAGCATCAGAATTTTGAATTTTATTCATAATTAAATTATGTAATGCTATTATTGAACGAATTAATGATGATAAATAAACAAGTAACATTTCATCATTTGTTTTAACATAAATTGATTTTATTAAATCTTGTTGTGTTACATCTGGTAATAAATTAAATATATCTTGTATATGTGATAAAATTTGATGATTTAATGGTAATTTATTTGTTAATAATTTATCAAGATAAGCACGTATATCATATAAACTTTTTGTTAAACCTTTAAGACCCATTAATTGATTTGTTATACGTTGACTAAGTGTACCAACAGTAGCATTACGAATATCACTAAAATTAAATATTGATAGCAAAATTATTTTAAAAAGAAAAACTGTATTTGTTTTTTTTTTCTAATATTTTATCTAGTTTCACGATTGAGCGAAAAGAATTCAATTGGAATATCTTATTGTTAGATGTCTATTTGTGAAAATACCTATCGAAATTAATTTTGTATGATCTAATCACACTTCGATATCGTACGTAACATTTTGTCTCATTTAAAGATTCAATTCATTGTATTATTATTCAGATCTTTGACTATAAATTCATTGAAATGAGTTGATCAATAATAAATTTATGTAAAATTATTTTGCGAAACGAAGAGTTCTTGAAAATCATACGAGAGCAGCTATTGATAGTCATGACCGGCCAAAAAACTTCCACTGTTGGTTTTATCAGTTTTTAAAATGAGAGTAGCCAGCTCACAATATTTTCTGATTTTCTTTTTGGATCACTTATTCAACAGAATGTCTAGATCAGCATATAGTTTCATATGAAGTAACTGTTTGAATATCGTTTTGACTTTTATTTGATGATAGCGATTATTTTATTGCTCGGTAACATCATTTCAAATTTCGGGTGTATTTGTTTTATGATACTAATTCAACAAAATTGCCTTCTTCTCTTGACAAGATCTTGGATATACAGAAGAGATATTCAAAAATTTAATCAATTTTAATTTTTCTATCTAACATATCTATTTATTCACTCACAATGTTCTCAAATCAGATATGATTCATGTGAGTATACTAATCTTGAATTGCATAATATATTGTAATATGTAAGCTGTCGTTAATTTTCAAGAGGAAATTTTTTCGAAGTCAGCGAAAAAAAAGTTTTACTCCGAAAGTTTGTACTGTTCGTTTTTTTTGGGTGATCACGTGTTTTTACAAGAGTCTCGAGATGAATATTTTCTAACTGACGCTATGTTTTAATGATAATTCATTTGACTTAACCTACCGTAGAAGATGTTCAACTCCAACTTCTTCAGCTTCTTCAGCACCAATTTCTGATGGTAAATGTTCGAATGTTTTTGAAGCTGGACTTCCATCCTTAATTAAATAAAAGAAATATAATATTTTAGTCTGTTAAAAAAAACAGAAAAAAAATGTTTTTTACATCATGAATTTCTTCTACAGCAATATAAGCTTCCGTTGGTAAACCTAAATCTTTTGGTTTAGCATCAACAATAACAAGAACTGAATCAGGTTGATATTCTCGAACTAATTCATTAATTGATATATCATTACGATGTAATTTTGGACCTGTATGATACCAACCAACAATACGTTCACGAGCTAAAAAATTTCAATTAAAATAAAGTTTTTTTCTTTTTTTGTTTTATTTTACCATTAACTTTTCTAAACATTGTATACATAATTTCAAGATATTCATGATCAAGAAACCAAACCTCTTTTTCTTTATCTTCTTCATCAAATGGTACTAAAAGAAAAACAAAAGAATTTTTGTTTTTAAATAAAAAAAATATGAAATTAAAATTTCTTTCTTACAAGCAAAACTATTTGAAATATCAAGAATTTTATTTGTTAATGAACCAAGTAAAACTCCAACAACACGTTGTGAATTTCCTATTTTTCCCATACGATTAAAATGATCAACAACACTTAATAATACAAGTGGATGAACAACAACTTTTTCAATTTTATTTAATGGAGATATTGTTATAGATTGATTTTTATCTGTTGATAAATTATTTTCATTAGGAATTTGTCCATCACCGATCGATTTATTCGATGTTGTTGTTGTTGCTGCTGGAGGAGACATTTAGTAATCTACAATTTACAGATCAAAATAGAAAAACCTCTGGCTTCATATATATATATACAGGGTGTCCCAAAAGTAACGAGACAAGGAAAAAAATTTGAATATCTCCATTACGGCTCGACCAAATGGGCTCAATTTTTTTATCAAGGATAGAGGCATCTGCACACTCCAAACCCATACGAACAAGGTGAATCAGAATCTTTGTTAAATATCACTATTGACCTCATCAAGAAAATTTCTACTTTTTCACAGACAGGAAAAGAAAAAAATATACGTAAAAAAGGTCCTCACTAACCTTGTCTGTATGGATTTGAAGTATAATCATGCCTCTATTTTTGGTAAAAAAATCAGCTCGGTTGCTCGAGCCGTAATGGAAATATTTAATTTTCTTTTCGATAAAGTGACTTTTGCACTAGCCTGTATATTGGTTTTTTCTTACTAGTGATAAAGTAAAAATTTTATTGTTGCGGTCAATAGTGATACTTAACAAAGGTTCTCATTCACCTTGTTCGTATGGATTTGGAGTGTGCAGATGCCTCTATCCTTGATAAAAAAATTGAGCCGATTTGGTCGAGCCGTAATGGAGATATTCAAATTTTTTTCCTTGTCTCGTTACTTTTGGGACACCCTGTATATGTTGCTTTTATTTGATTCATCTATTTGTTGATTTCTATTTAGAAAAAGAGATCGATAGATGTCAGACGAATATTCAGCTAAATTTTTCAATTGGATTATATCTTATACCAATACGAATATTTATCTTTGTATTAAAATTCTTTTCTTTTTTTATTTTATTTCTGAAAATTTTCTTCTTTTTTTTTTGGAATTTTTACATCATGTCGATGTCATCAAAAGCAGCCGATATTCTTCTTGAAGCTGGTAGTTCATTTAAACGTATTGCTGAATTAACAATGGAATTAGTTGATCCAAATTTATCAAATCGTTTATCAAGTTCATCATCATCATCAACAGTACAAAAAACACCAATTGATTCAACAGAATTAAAACGTCTTCGTGATGCAATTAGTCGATTTTCATCGGATCTTGATGCTGTTTCACAACGTATACATACAAATCGTGAAGCTGCTACAGCACCACAAGAAGTTGAAAGATTAATGAGTTTAAATTTAACTGAAAATAATAATGAACAACAAATACAAAATGAAGAAACATCAATATCGAATGATAATCAAACAGCTGTACCTATGACTGTTTAATATTTCTATTCTGCTTATGTTTGTTCTTTTTGTTTGTTTTTTTTTGTTATCTGACAAAAAACAAAAATTAATTGATGTCTGTATATTTAAATTCTATTTTGTCTTTTATTAGCAAAATCAAAAATATGGAAAAAATATTTTTTTGTTAGAAAATCCCGAAACTTAAATATTATTAATGAGAATTACTAGAAGATATTTCATATATACTGTAATGACTGTAGTCAAACTGTTTTCTTCATGTATGTGAAATACTTAAAAGTATCAGAGATAGAAGAGACAGCCTCGTCTATCCTCCTTCCCTCCTATCACAGATCTTAGCGTGTCAAGGATGATGGATAATCATGCATTGATTTGCTACAGGTGTTATATGATCAAGTTATAACTGTGAAAAGTATTCAATATCAGTGTTTGAGTTTATCAATATATATAATAATGTATTGAAATCTTCTGTAGATATAATAGATATGTGCAACAGGATTATTTACAAGTGAAATCAATAGTTAGAATAAAAATGTTAAATTAACAATAACAATACGAAAAATAAAAATATCGAGCGAATTAGAGTCCCAGTAAAAAAAAAAAGGAAAAATTTCTATTCGACATCCTGGTTAAAACAACTATAGTACACTAGAGACATTTCGTTTGACATATTTTGTATTAATATAAAGACTCTAAAGACCACATGTGAGTTCCGCATATCAGCTCCAAAGAGTCTGCACTGAGAAGGTTTTTTTCTAATGTCTGAAACTATTACAAGCATCGCATACCAACATTTATTAGTCCATCGTTATTGTGAGCCAACGATAATAATATTCCATTGAATCTCGCCATTTGTTATAGCGACAACCAGCTCTATGCTCAAAATGACTGTATACAGTAGAACTAAAAGAGAATTTACACAATTAACTGGATTCAAATGTCTTGAAAAGCTAAAATTTTATTATTTCATCTTCAATGAAAAAAAAAGCTGTAGTTATTTCATTCCAATTGATCGTTTCGAACTATACTCATTCGTATGATTTTCATAAATTCAACGCATGCATTACTTTCTTTTTCATGCAAATACTCAAGTGCATGTCTATAGCAAGAAATTCATCAAGAAGAATACCTTTCTTTATATTTGTTGAAATAAGAGTTTACTCTAGTATGACATAATCAATCGTAGGTTTTGGTAGTTAGTTCATAATGATTGCAATAATAGCTTTCCTTAGGCAGTCCGTTTGATATTTCAAAATATGAAAAAAAAACAAAAATAAATAATTATCATTTTAGAATGGATAGTTCACGATCATCTTTACCAAGTGTTGATCGAGCTAATTCGACATTATTTAAACGTTATCTTGAAGAACAACATAAATCAGTAATTAAATCGAATAATTATCAACAATTATCACGTCCAATTAATTCAACAATACAAATTACACATACACATCGACAACAACAAGATACTTATACGTCAAAATTAAATAATAATAATAATAATAATCAAACAATTATAATCAAACGAAAATATTCGAATGGACGAAAACCATCAGGTGATATATCGAAACAACGTACATCACATACAAGTCGATTTATGAAACGTTTTCAACGTCAACATAAAAATCGAGATACAATAATAAATGTACAAAAACGTGGTCAGTTTAAAAACAAAACAAAAGAAAAGAGAATTTAATCATTTCATTATTTAGAAATTGTCTTACTTTTTTTACTTTTAAGATGGACGACCTCGTTTTGAATTTCATGAACCATCAACTACAAAACAAATTCGAACTAATCAAGAAAATCATTGTACATGTCTTGCTTTATCTGATCACAATAGAGAAGAACATCATCATCATCATCATCATCATCATTCATCTCCAAAGAAATCATTACAAGTACCACGTCTTTCATTAAATGAACTTTTTCATTCATCTTCACAACATCGACGACAATCAACTCAAACAGTAATAGTACCACCACCATCATCATCATCACCTAAACCTATTCGATCACCATTACCGATGTTACCACCTACAATAGATAAATCTACACGATCTGGTAATTTAATTTAATCATAAATATGAAAAAGAAAAAAAAAAGAAGCGTTTTTTTTTGTCTATTAGAATCTATTTCAAATTTAATATATCCAATCGAACAAAATTCCCTTCCGTCACCATCAATTGAACCAACATCAACTATAAATAATGAAACTGATACTACACTTCTTCTTGATCCTCCAACAATAAATTTATCTGATGAATATTGGCCAATAATTAATGATCTTTTACAAGAAATATCAATTGAAATGAGTGATAAATCAAGTGTTGATATTCATTTAGAAATTGAAGAATCACTTGCACAACGTATTTATGAATGTATTGTTGAACAAGATGATGAAAATGAAAATGATACAAAATCTTATTCAACAACAACAAATGATTCATCTGCTTTATCAACAGCACAACCACCATTAAATAATGTAATTTCACATGAATCAAATGATTTACCATCATCACCTATAAGTACAACTACTAGAGAACCAATTAATAATCGAGAAAAATGTAAATAAAATCTTCTTTTAGTCGACGACAAAAGTTTCACCCGTCTTGAAATAAATTTTTTATATTATTTTTGACGTATGAAAATAGAATGCAATACACATATATATATTGAGGAGTTCGAGATATTTACGCAGCACATAGTAGTTTTATAAATGTTTGCTTCTTCATTGAGCAAAGTAAAAATATGTGAATACATCCATTTTTGGATGACCTATTGAGAAATGAGATAGCTCATGTGAAGTGAGGTCGAGTTTATAACTTTTGACCACTCAGAGGGGAGAGCTTTGGCTATGCTCCATCAACGAGCAATATCAAGAACACTGAGCACGAAATTTCGAATTGTAATTCATTCACTAGAAATCCGTCAGTTCGAAATTTTGGTCTCATATCATAAAACCCATCTCAACTTCGAACAAGTTATCCAAAAATGGATGCATTCATATATTTTTACTTTGCTCAAAGAAGAAATAAATATTTATAAAACTACTATGTGCTGTGTAAATGTCTCGAACTCCTCTCTATATATATGTATTGCATTCTATTTTCATACGCCAAAAATAATACAAAAAAATTCATTTCAAGGCGGGCGAAACTTTTGTCGTCGACTATTTTTTTTTGTTTGTTTAAAAAGAGTATATTTAATATTGAATTAATTTAGATTTTCAACCAATTCGTGAACCACTACCACCAACATCATTTAATAATCTTGATCGAAGTCTAACATAGTTTTTTTTAATGAAATTGTAATTTTCTTTTTTTGGTTTTTATAGATCGACATTCAACACCTTTTAATCGTATCTCACAACAAATACAAAATGGTATTTTTTTTTATTTCATTGAAATATCATTTCTTTTTTCTAAGTCCCGAAACGCAATTTAGAAGAAGTGTTGAAGCATATAGGATAGAAATTTGCATCGTCTACAGTCGATGACAGATACAACTATCGAAATGTTACAGAGCATGACAGACGACGAGTTTCGAGGGTTACGCTAACAGCTGTTCTGTTTTTATTTAGATACTCGATCGCCATTTGCTCAATCTTTATTTGAACCTGTAAATCTTTTACGAACAGTTGCAACTGGTGATAATGATGATTTTAATTTTTTTCCTTCATCATTTTCATTTGAAAATCATCAGAATTTAAATACAGATTTTACATTATATCAACAACAAGAACACCAATCAAAAGGTGAACTATCAACGATATCATATCATCATTCATTACCATTTTTACATCATCTTCTTCCGCCACGAACAACTCCAATTGATATAAATATTTCAGCATTTAAACCTATTGAACCAGCTAATACACGATCAACAACATCATTTGCATTAAAACGACCTCAAGTTATTAATAGTTCAATAGGAAGAAATTGGTTCGGGCAAAGTTAAGATCGATTAAAATAGTGTCGATTCATTTTTCGTTCTCATTTGGTCAGATGACTTTATTTTGATATATATTTTTTCTGTGTTCTTTTTTCTCTTGTCTTTTTTGTTAAACTTTACTATTATTTCTTTCTTTTTTTCTTTCTCTTGGTCATCTGTGATTATTTTGCTTAATAACAATCATGAATAAATATAATACTAGTCAGATTTCTACATTTTCTGAATACAATTATACATATGGAGGATGTGAGTGGATGTTGTCGAAGAGAAGATGCACACCCACATCCTTCTTATTATATATTTCCATCGGGAAAAATGCACTGTTAGAACCAAAAGGTCATATATACTTTATCAATTGTTCTTCTTTCACAATCCTAGAGCAACAACAATTTTTATTAAAAGTATTTTCACATTGAAAATATCTCTTAAATCAAAGGTTAAGGTTTCTATGTTAAGAATTTCTTATCGAATAGTTAAATACTTTTTGTAGTCTCATAGAAATCTATTCATCATCATCATGGTTAATGATCAATGTATATTCCTCAAAAAACTTTTCGCTTTCGTTTTTTTTTTATTGTAAAGAATTTGTTGAATTCATGTTATTAACATAATGTTTATTTCAATGACAAGTTTCGATAATTTAATATAAATAGAGATGTGTGGTATTAATATCAATGCTGAAACACTGATATTGAAGCTTACTGAAACAATGAAACATTAGCACTGAGATATGCCGAAACACTGATACTAGGCATATCAATGTTTTAATAATATCAATGTTAATACGCACAATTCAATTATTGTCATGAAAATCTTTATATGCGCACGGTCTAAAGTCAAAAAATATCCGGCAGCTGCTTTTTAAAATCAATACAATTGTTAACTTGACACAATGCACAATTCGTATCTATTTAACCAAAATCATTAGAAACTTAGACATCATTTATTATTGGTGATTTCTGATTGCTTCCGGCAGTTTCTAACGGCTTGAAGTCCTTTATATTATGCTTAACGCTTTGCAATGATTACCAGTGCTAAATATCAAATTGTTTCTACTTGATATTGCAGTAATAAAAACTCAGAAAAGATCAAAGCTTTTGATTGAATGAAACAGTTCAGTATAACGCTGATTACATACTGATTATTTTTGCAAATGAGATTTATTTCGATTGTAATTAACTTATTCTCTTTGTACAAACCAGAGCTGCCAGATCAAAGCTGTTGGCCTGGTTCTTACATTTTGAAAATTAACTGTGTGTATATCGCCTTATTATTCGAGAGTACTTTGACAAATTCATTCTGTTTTAGCAACCAATGCCTAAAGTGAACATCAATTTAGTTTTGTAGGCAAGAGGGAAACAGCAGAAACTGTGATTCCAAGTGATTCCATTGATTCTAGAGCCACAGAATCAGCTGTTTTCCCTTGTTTGTAGGACTTATATTGACTGACAGAGGAACTTGTTCAGATTCAAAAGAATTGGATAGTAAATTTTTCGTTCGTGCCATTGCAAAAGTTGAGTGTCGAATGTAAATGTCCTTGTCTTCCCTACATTTTCTTTTATCTAGTCGTTGTATGCTTAATCATATGTTGTTTTTGCTATCATGATTACAGGCTTTTGATTATGCGAAACAGTACCGGTATGATCAAAAAAATTGCATTAATTCAAGACTTTTTTGTATAAAAAACTATTCATGATTACTGTTTCTCTGTTTTAATTCGTTATTTCGTGCAACAAATTGTTATTATCTTATCTTTCTGGAACTAAATTAAACGTATTCAGAAAATCAGAAATATTAATCGGCTAGTTTAGCCCGCAGGGTACTTTGCAATTTTGGGTCTTGTCTGAAGAGATCGGTGAATGATAAGCATGAGGTGAGCTTAGTACCGAAAAGTTAAGCACATGCAAAAAGATGAAGGTAAGGGGTATAGGTGTGGATGAAAATGAAGAGCAGACTAGGCATGAATTGTGTGAAATATCGCCAGCTGAACTTTAGCACTTTTGTTCAATGTCCATCGAAATCTTCACAATACAAAAAAAATTGTTGAAATTTCAGTTAATCGATGAGTCACAATGGGATGAAACAAAAATATCGGTGGAACTATAATTTCGACAATTTGTCTAATTTTCTATCGGAATTTCAATAATTCTTTTATTGTCAAAAGTATCGGTCGAAAATTCAACAATTTGTCAAAATTCAAGTGATGAAATTCCATAAATGATATAAAACATATTTCCATCGGTAGAAAATTCGAGTAGGAAAATGACACTAAAGAATGTTAAAAGAGGGATTTATACAACGTTGTTGGACTACATACTACAGCTAATCAAAAAAGCCAAACCCAATGAGTTTAGGTTGATTTTAATTTCTTTTCAATCTCTTATTAAACTAAATGGTTCATCGGATCACTTTTCATTTAGTTGTCAAAGACAGACATCCTTCTATATTTGTGATGCAACAGTTCATTGATATAATTCTTAATTAATGAGATCAGTTTGAAATAATGAAGTTCTGTTGTTGAATATGGATACATGCTTAGAGAAGACACAAACCCACACCCATACTCATTTCGAATTGCTTAATAATAAACATTATCTTCTTATGTTTACTTTCAAAATTCTTTTTTTTTTTGTTTTTATGTTTCATTATGAATGAACTATCTTCAATATAGAAGATAAAAAAAGAACACGGCGAGCATAGTTGAATAAACACAAAACACAAAACAAAATGTTAATGTCTACATGCGTATTTATCTCCAATAATTGAAGATAAAAAAACAAACGGATAACAATCATGTAGTATTTAACTATAACAAGACAAAAAAAAACATTCGATACTCAAAAAAAGAGAGAAAAGCAAAAAAAACGCTGTAAGTTCTTCATTTTCTTGTTTTATTATTCTTCTTATTCAGTAGCTGTTGGTGTTGCTCGTTTAGTTTGATAAGCAACTTTTAATTGTGTATTTTTAAGTGTTAATGTTGGTCCAAGTTTAATAGCGGCAGCAGCTGAATTATCATCAGAAAATGTAATAAATGCAAAACCAGGTCGCACACCTTTATTTTTTGCTTTAGCTGAATGTAATTCAATTTTAGTTGCTTTTGGAAAAAGTTTTTTTATATCATCTTCAACAACATGTTCTGGTAATTGACCAACATAGATTGCATTTGTTGAAAGTTGTTTTTCTAAAATAAAAATTTATTAAAAAAAAATACAACATTCAAATTTTTTTTTTTTTGTTCTACAAACCACTTTTAGATTTTTCTTTTTTATTTGTATTCTCATTTGATGGTGTTTGTTTTTTCTCATTTTTTTCTTGTTTATTATTTCCATTTGTTGATTTTTGTTCTTGTTTTTTCTCATTTTTTTCTTGTTTTTTATTTGATTCATCATTTGTTTTTGTTTGTTGTTTACCAACTGGTGCAAATGCATAAGAAACATTAACTTTTTCACCACCAATTTGTGTATGAGCATTTAATGCTGCAGTACAATCAGCTTCATTATCAAATGAAACAAAAGCAAATCTAAAAACAAAAATAAAATTTATTTACAAAAAAAAAAAGAAAAAGATATTATACATACTGAATAACTTTACGATTTGGACCAACTTTACGTTTTTGCATTTTAATTGATTTTGCTTTTGGATAAAGTTCTTTCATATCAGATACACTAACACTTTCTTTTATTGAATTAATAAATAATTGTGTTTTATTAAGTGGTTTATTAGCATTTGATATTAATGTTTCTTGTTTTGGTTTAGTTTCTGATTTAGTTGGAGTCGATGATGGTTTTTGTTTTGATGGAGTTGAAGTTGGAGTTGATGATGGTTTTTTTAAAGCAGATTTAAGTGGTGCTGCAGGTGTAGATTCTTCATCATCATCGTCGTCGTCTTCATCGTCATCATCCTAAAGAAAATTTATGATTATTATTTTTGTTTTTTTCAAAAGTGATTTTTTTATTAACTTACGTCTTCGTCATCGTCCTGTTATTGAAGATATATAGGAAAAAAAAAGTATTAGATAAAAAAAAAAAAGAAAATTACAAACTTACATCATCTTCAGCAGTCGGTGCTTTGGCAGTAGGTTTAGTCTGAAAATTTTCAAATGATTATTTAAAGAAGAATTTATTTACTTCTACTTACTTGTTTCGAAACTGGCGTTGGTTTGGTTGCCGTTTTTGTAGGCTTTTGGTCTTCTTCATCATCATCATCATCGTCATCCTCATCATCATCATCCTGAAAAGAGAATAGCGATTATAATGAAATCAAGTGTGTGATTTGTTATACTTACGGATTCATCATCGTCTTCAGCCATTGATGGTTTGGCAATAGGCTTAGTCTGAAAATTTTGAAATGATCATTTGGAGAAGAATTTATTTACTTCTACTTACTTGTTTCAAAGCTGGTGTTGGTTTCGCTGCTGCTTTTGTAGGTTTTTGGTCTTCTTCTTCATCATCATCGTCGTCATCGTCATCATCATCCTGAAAAGAGAAACAGCGATCATAATGAAATTAAGAGTGCAATTTGTTATACTTACGGATTCATCATCGTCTTCAGCCATTGACAGTTTGGCAACAGGTTTAGTCTAAAAGTTTAGATCATTTGACTTGTAAAATAGAGATTAATTAAACTTACTTGTTTTCCAGTTACAGGTGATTTTCCGATAGATTTTTTAGGTGTTTCATCTTCATCGTCATCATCATCATCATCATCATCATCATCACTATCTTCACCGAAATCAAGCTAAAAAGAAAAATCGAAAATCTAGATCTGTAGGATAGGAAAATTTTGGGCTTGACTCTGCATATCTAAAACTTTCTTTCGTATAGAATCCTTACTTCATCATCATCATCTTCGTCGTCGTCATCTTCATCTTCATCATCATCTTGTTTTCCTTTTCCTTTCAAAACATTCTTATTTCCTGCTGGAACATTTTTACCAGTAACTGGAGTTTCATTCTTAAGTTTTTTCGCTTGAGGACCTTAGAAGAAAATAAATAGATTTTCTTTTTTATATTTAATATAATAAAAAAATAACTATACCTGATTTATCAACAACATCAATTGTACGTTTTTGAGTTTCAGCTGATGGTGATTTATTTGAAATTGTTTGAGCTGTAGGTTTAGTCTTTTTTTGAGATGAATTATCGATAACAGTTGGTTTTGTTAATTCTGTTTTGCCTTTATTTTTATTTTGACCAACAGTTGGTGTTGCTTGTTTGGCTGATGTAGGCGGAGTTTTTTTAGATGGTTTTTCTTCTTCTTCATCTTCATCATCCTATTGGAAAGAAAATTCTATGTTTAATTTACAAAACAAAGATTGATTATTTACATCATCATCGTCTTCATCATCATCGTCATCATCTTCATCGTCATCATCATCATCGTCATCATCTTCTTCTTCTTCAACATTTTTTCCACCTAATGGTTTTGCTGCAGCTTTATCCTGATGAAATAAACTTAGTTTATTTTTTCTTTCAATTATGATATTTTCAAACTTACTAATTTTCCTCCAGAAACCATTTTTGCAACTGTTTTTTTAAGCTTTTTTTCATCTTCTTCATCTGATTCATTTTCATCATCATCGTCTTCATCATCATCATCATCATCATCATCATCTTCAAAATCCATCTAAATTAATCCAAATATTATTGATTATTTTTACTATTGTTTTTTTCAAGGAATATTTAACACATACTGATTCATCATCATCGTCTTCATCCGCATCCTCATCATCATCAGAAGCAGCTTTTTTTTTACTTTGTGCTTTTAAACCATTTTTATTTGCTGATCCTTTAGCAGGAGACATATCACTTTTGAGTTTTTTTGCTTTAGGACCTAGATGATGATGAAAACAAAAGAAAATGTATCGTTTATATAGAAAAACAAAAATGAAAAATAAACGAACCTGATTGATCATCTGTATCTGATGACCGTTTTTGTGGTTCACCACGTTTATTTTGAAAAGCTATTTTAAGTTGTGTATCGTTAAATGTAGCACCTTGTTTAACAGCTGCTGCTGCTGAAGAATCATCAGGAAATGTAATAAAAGCATGACTAGAATATAACATAACCATTAAAATAAAACAAAAATTTAGGAAAAAAAAACAACTAAGAACTAACCCAGGTCGAGTTCCTACAGCTGGTACAAGTTGTAAATTTTTTGCTTTTGGAAACATTTTTTTCAAATCATTTTCTTGAATATCAGCAGGTAATTGACCAACATAAATACTATCACTCATGAATTCACGTTCTAAATAATTGATTCAAAAACAAATTAACCTGTAAAATTACACAGATGAAAACTTACTAGTTTCTGAGAATCTTCCACCACCACCACCACCGCCTCGTCCTCGATCTTGTCCAAAACTACTGCCTCGTCCTCGATCTTGTCCAAAACTACCGCCTCGTCCTCGATCTTGTCCAAAACCACCGCCTCGTCCTCGATCTTGTCCAAAGCCACCGCCTCGTCCTCGATCGTTTCCACCACCAAATTTACCACCACGACTACCACCACGACTACCACCACGACTACCTCCACGATTACCAAAACCTACACTACCACCACCTAAAAGAAAAGAATCAATGCTATTTTCTTGATTGATTTCAAAATATTCATCTTACCTCGTCCGCCACCACCACCTCGACCTCCTCTAAAACCTCCTCGACCACGACTGCCACCACGACCTCGTGAATTTTGTCCGAAAGCCATTATTGAATAATAAGCTAAAGATGATGATTAATCTATAATACTAACAAAAAAAGAATATAAATAATTCAACTTGAACAAAAACAAAGGTGAAGTATATTTATGGTTGTTCGATAAAATTTTAAGTAGTTGTTTTTCTCTTAATCAATAAAAAGCTATCTATTATAAAAATTAAATTTTTTTTAATGATATTATTTTATTCATATAATCTCAAAAGTATTTTAGAAAGAACAAAGTTTAGAGTGAGAAACTTATTCATCAATTAAGCAATTATTTGAGTCTACTAATAATCATAAATTGATAATGAAGTATATCAATACTAAAATCATATTGTTCGAAAGAATCGGAAATTTTTTTTTTCGATCAATTTGTCTGAAATAGGATCAAGAATAAATATATTACAGGTCAGGTGGATTATACTGATCTACGAAGAGAAATGATGTGCATGACCAAAGTATTTTCTAAAGAAAATGGCTGCTATACAGAGCACAGCTGCGTTCATCGATCGAAAAAATGTGTGAATGGTGAAAAACTGTTGTAAAGTGCGAAAAAAAGCGAATGATAAATCTTGGTAAAGTACAAATGACCCGTAAAAATCAAGCAAACCTTCATCTTTTGTGCAATTGTTCATGTAGAGCATAATTGTTAAAATAATATCTGTCTTATATATTCACCTATTATTAGTAGAAAAATTTAGAATTTTCCAGATTTTTTAAAAATTTTAATAGGAATAAATAAACAAACTTTAGATGTCACTAGTATCTAATAATAAATAATCATCAGAGTTAAGAATTATCTCATAAAATGGATTAAATATATCATCAACATGAAATAAATAAGCTTAGACTTATGTCTTAATATTTTACCAGAAACTTTTGTATGTGTATTATTATCAATGTTAATAAACCTTTTTACTTTTCAAGCTGATCAGAATATAATGTGTAATCAAATGCACGATAAAGTCGTACAAGTTTGGTATCCATCTCTCATAACACTAGGATTTTAATGTCTTGTGACAAAGTTCAATTGTGATGTCATATGAATACTTTAATCTCTAACGTTGACGAAGTCTCAATTCAACAGATACAAGTTTTATTGAGAGTATCAAAATATGGTTCGACTAGGTCTGAGTCCAAAATTTTCGACTAGACAAGCTCTAGCACAACTCATTTGGAGACTCTTCATAACTCACCAAGGCCTACTTCTGGGCAAAATATCAGCTCACAACGATGCGGATACCTGGGCGTGTTCTCTTGTAAGTATGTAGAAAACAGAGATGTCCATTACAGCTAGAGATCTGTCGCTGTCGCTGTCGCACCGCTACCACAATGGTATTCTTGAAATATCTCCCGCCCCGTTGTGGTTCTTTAAAAAAGTGCTGCTGACATCGTCATGGCGGTGGTAGCAGCGTCACCATGGACATCTCTGGTGGAAAATGTCCTTCTATTAGTTACATAATAATGTAAAAACTGATTAATGTACTGTCCATTGCAACTCATTGTTTGACATTATCAAGCAAAGAACAATGAAGATAAGATAAATAGTTTGTAAAATGTACATTTCAAATAATGTATGAGACATTTTTGCATATGATCGAATTCATTACATTAAATATTTGATAAATATAGTATTCATTAGAATTACATTTGATATCTATTATTTTTTTATATTCCATTTAATTTAAATGAAAAAAAAAATCTATCAATTTTTTATCTGACTAATAATGTCCAAATAAAAACAAAAAAAGATTATTATTGTCAATTGTTACTATTCATTGCACGATATCTATTTGATGTTGAATGAAATAATTCCTGAGCAACTTTATGAATAATTTCATGATCACTTTCATCAATATTATCATTATCATCATCAGGTTCATCATCAGATAAATAACCAAGAATAAAACGAACTTTACCAGATGATTCATCTTTATCTTGTTCGTGTTCAACATGATTATATAATTCAGGTATAACAGTAATTTGTTTTTCCATATCGATTGGACTTTCTTCACATTTATCATTATTAATTGAACGTCGATATGAATCATTTAAAACTGTATTTTCTGTATATTCTTCATTAAGAAAATGTTTACGTGCATATACTCGTTGATATCGATCAACAAGTACAGAAACAAGCATTGAAACAACTGATACACCATAAATAGCAGCTAAACATGCTAAACTACGTCCAAGTACAGTTATGGGAACTAAATCACCATATCTTAAAAAATAAAATAAAATAAAATAAAATAAATAAAAATCTATAAAAATTTTTTTGTTTTTCATTTCTACCCGACTGCTGTTAATGTAATAATGCCATAATAAGTTGCTTTAGGTATTGAATCAAAAAAATCTTTATTAGTATTATTTTCAGCAAAATACATTGCTGCTCCAAATAGAAAACCACTTAATGTTAAAAATGATAATAATATTATAAAATCAGGTATTGATTCTTTTATTGTACTACCAAGTACACGTAATGATTTAATATGTTGAAATATACGATAAAGTTTAAATACACGTAAAAAACGAAATATACGTAAAATACTTAAAAAAAAATAAGTTTCTGAAGATATTTCATTATGAGTACCAAACACACTGATTATTAATGTTATATAATAAGGAACTAGATTAAGAATATAAAGAATTGATTAATTATAAAACAACAAAAAAAAAAAAAATTTACCGATTGCAAAAAAATCAACCCAATTTGGAATTGATTTAATAAAATCAAAAAAAGATGGACAAGATATTAAACGTAGAAGAAATTCTATGGTAAAAAAACCAATACAAATTGATTGAACTATAAAGAATGATGATTGAAAATTTGGTGGACAAAGATGGCGAGTTGTTGATCTGTTACTATCAATAAATAAGCCTAAAAAAAAGATAACGAGTGTCAGTTCAAATACATAATATAAAAATTTCTTGCATAAAAAAATCTTCAGTTATGATTGATATTCAAAACGTAAATACTATTATAAAGTGTGCGAACATAAGAACTAAGATCAGCTTAGAAATGGACTCATCATGGGCTGAGCTCACTCTAATCTTGTCAAGTATTATTTTAATATAGGTTTCAAAACCTCTCAGAGTGCTTTGAGTAGAGTCTTGCGGAACAATTCAGAATACCGAAAAATCCTATTTGTTCCGTTCCACAGCGTATGCGGGATCGGGACTCGAAAAAAGTTTGTCTCGCATAATTCTAGGACTGAACCTACCCCCTGGCTCCGTCACTAATAATCAGTAATCAAAAAAGGTACCACTTCCGATGTCAATGATTTTTCGTCTAGTGATACTATATAGTATTCTAATAGAAATCCTAAAAGTATTTGAGTTTCTATTGAGATTTAACTAAGCTATTGAATTTTTTTCTAGAGTCGCCAGGTTTTCGGGAAACTCGTATTTTCGAATTTTGAACAGAAACATTGCGCATATAGAAAACTCAATAAAACTAGCTTCTAGAAAAAAATTCACAAGTTTTGAATGGCGTCTCTTCGAGATATGAGACATGTATTCTTTAAAAACTGCATGTCTTGAAGAAACTGTGTTCAAATCTTCTAGATTTTTTTTATGTAAGCTAGTTTAGTTAAGTTGTCCATACGCATAAAGTTTCTGAGGAAAACTTGAAAATCTGAAGCATTCAGATATAGACCTATTAAAAATCCGATAGCTTAGTCAAATTCTTTTAGGGTTTTCATTAGAACACTATATAGTAGCTATAGATAAAAAAAAATCATTAAAATTGGAAGCGGACAGCTGAAGAGATTTCTTCGTTAGTAACATACTTTTTTCTGATATTTAAGTTCTAATTCTTAATTTATGGGATGAGCTATCGAATAGAACCATGCGATCTTTCTTTAGAAAGATAAATCGTCTCGACGTTAACATCGATTATGACCATGACCGTAAAGATATAACGTATTATAAAGCTATCACCGAAATCCTTACAAAATCGAAATATAAAATCTAATAGATCTACTTTCTTATGATAAATGAGAAGTTTTCAGCAATATTGCTCAAACTATTTACATTGCTCTATATTGAATTCTGTTATCTATATTTATCATCGAACAAAAGTTTCTATTATTATCTTTGATATGAATAGATTCAAGTTTCTCATCATAGAATTAATTGTATTTGACAAATAAGTAGAATAACTGGCAGACTACCGAATCTATCGTTTTTTATATTATTGATCAATCAAGCAATCGCAAATATTCTATTCAATCTTATAAATTCATTTCATACTTAAATCAATAAGACCAACTCGAAAATGCTCTTATCTATGACTTAGTCTTCTAATTATTTAAATACCATCTCCTTCGTATTCGCATCGATTATTATGAGTTCCACGATAATTTGGTAATGTTTGTATAGCAAGTTCAATTGCAGATAGTAATATAAAAATAATCGAAAAAATATTAATAATTTTTGCTGTCATTGAATATTGTGGATATTCTAAATTTGCCCATAATTGACGACAAAAACGATTTTCTGGTAATTTAACTTTTTTTGCTTCTTCTAATTCTTCATCTTTTCGTACTTGTCTAAGTGCATCTAAACCTAAATCAAAATATGTTATTTCTTCTAGAAATGTATCAAGTGAAACATTTTCAGGTCGACGAAGACGTCCAGATGATTGATAAAAATAAAGTATTGCTTCAAAACATAATCGATGTCGATCAAAAAAATATTCATCATGTTTTTTATCATAATAACATGATCGACGTTGAATATTTCCAAGTAATGTATCTGGATAACGTTCAAGTGTTGATTTATATGTTTCAAAACGTAAACCACTAACATTAATAATAATACGTGAATCATTTTGATTATCAAATTTTCTTCCATTTTTTAAATTTGATTGTTCATGACTTTTACGTCGACGTAAATCAATGATACTTTGAAGATGTTCAAGTCTTCATAGTAGAAAAATTAAAAAAGTTATATAATATAAACGTTTTTTTTTTTTTTTTTCTTTATATACTTAGTCACTGTTTGACCAGTCCATTTTGGATTTTTATAAATTGTTTCTATTCTAGATTAAAATAAATTTATTTTTTATGAATACAAGAAATATTTTATTTCTTACCTGAATTTTGTCATGATATTATTTGTTTGTATTTAAATAGAAGAAGAAAAAAAACATGTAGAATCGTTTTATTCAGAAGCAACAATCGTTAATTTTTTTTTAATCATATGAAAGACAAAAAAAAAAGATGAAAGTAATGCATCACTAATCAACCGTAACAAAATCGTTTATTAGTTCAACGTATTGACATATTTAAATGAATGACAATGATCATTCATTCTTTTTGTTCCCATAAAATGGCTATTGTCATCGACACTCATTCAAAGAAAAAACAAAAGAAAAACCTTTTTAATAAAGATATCGACATTGACCAAAGCACACATTATAAAAAC